ATGACGGCAAGTAACTCGACGACAGTCGAAGTCACGCACATGGCTAAGGCCATCAACGATATAAATGGCTAAGGCCATCGATGCCGATAAGTCGACCCAGCTCGACTATGACGGCAAGCAACTCGACGACAGTCGAAGTTACGCACATGGCTAAGGCCATCAACGGTATAAATGGCTAAGGCTATCGACGCTGATAAGTCGACCCAGCTCGACTATGACGGCAAGCAACTCGACGACAGTCGAAGTTACGCACATGGCTAAGGCCATCACCGATATAAATGGCTAAGGCCATCGACGCCGATAAGTCGACCCAGCTCGACTATGACGGCAAGTAACTCAACGACAGTCGAAGTCACGTACATGGCTAAGACCATAAATGATATTATGGCGAAAGCCATCGACGCCGATAAGTCGACCCAGCTCGACCATGACGGCAAGTAACTCGACGACAATCGAAGATACGTACATGGCTAAGGCCATAAACGATATTATGGCTAAGACCATCGACGTCGATAAGACGACCCAGCTCGACTACGACGGCAAGTAACTCGACGACAGTCGAAGTTACGCATAATAACAATTGCAATAACATTAACGTCAAGTTGATTTCAACTTAAATAACACGGAATTAAAATGGAATACAGGTGACCATGACACAACAAGAAAACTTGAGCAGACAATCATCAACAAGCTTCAAGTTTAATCACAGCAGATTTAATGGCGACAAATTCGCCCCCAGTTTTCGGGACCAGAGTCACCACTATATCATCTTCATCTTCAAGGCCAATGTCCTCGAGCAACTCGATAATGGCCGGCTGGAATTTTGCAACAAGGGCGACATGTGGTTAACTGGGATCTGAATGAACATGAGGCAAGGCAGTATAACTTCCTGCAGACTCTACCCTGTCTAGCTCATGCCAGTTGGAGCTTGCATCTGCGTTAATGAACACATCAAACCTTATGTGCTTTCGCTGATTGATGTTGAGTTCCAAGAAAGCTAACACTCTCCTCGTTTGC